TTTTTTTTTTTTTTTTTTTTTTTTTTTTTTTAAGGCGAGGTTTCTGCGGAACTGGCAAGGGGACTCTGGTTGCTTCCTGTTCACCCTGAAAGCTGGCTGCCCGTGGAAACCTGGGCTTGCTCACAGGCAGGCTGCACTCTAAGCTGCTACACCCTCGGTGGAAGAGCTGGAGGAGGGCGTGGTCTCACACCTCCCTGTAGCCCAGAGGGAAGATCTGCTGGACCTGGGAGCTGAACAGAAACTCCTCACCTGCTTCTACTGCAGAATAACCGCCAGGCAAGCATCCCTAGGTGACAAGTCTCCAGACAGCAGCAGGCTTTGCCGAGCCTCCAGAAGAACACACGAGTTAAAGGGTAAAGGACGTGAGGATAATTTTTCTGGCAGTTAGTTAGATCTTAAGAGGGCAACGGCGCTAGCAAACGGCCGGCCCCGCGCCCAGGTGTGGGCAGCGGGTTTGCGTGAGCTGAACGCTGGCTGTGCTGGAGCACCTTCACGCCCACGGGCCTGGACCCCGGCCTCTGTCTTCCCCAACCTTCCATCGCCTTCCTTGGGTCTTCTCACCAGCTGGACAGAAACTGCCGTTGAGCCCAACAGCGAGTGACCTTCAGCACCTGGCTGCCTGTCCCCCAGGAGGCCGGCAGCTCCTTAATCCCTCTTTCCTTCCTGAGGGAAGGCATCCTGTGTTCTCCTTGCCTTTAAAGAAACCTCCATCACCAGAACAGGCTTGGCTCTGTCTTCCCCTCACCACTCCCCCGCCACCCCGCCTCGCCCATTCCTGACGGTGCTTAACATCCCAAATCAATCAACCCCTGCCAGCGGGGCACGCAGCCCACCGCTGCTCTCCTCTCAGACGTTTCCATCCAAGGGTGGGGAGCAAAACGTCATTACAATACCATGGAGAAGAAAATTAATTCTATTTTTTAAAGTCCTTTTCAGAAGGAAAGCTTTTCCAATAAAATTTAAAATTTTTATTAACATTTAAATTATAAACCAAACGTTGGCAACCATATATAGACACGTTTGCTATGGACAGCTGACTGTGAGGTCATACTTTCAAATACAACTTCAGAATTAGTTTAAATAAATCAATACGTTTTCTCAGAAATTGTATAATTTCCTTCGGTTTACAGTCCATGATATGGAAAGTTTAATATAATGTTAAATAATTTACTGTCTATCCTAAAAGTAAGCTATTAGAAAACTGAATCACTATTAGGCTCGAATAACAACAAGGCTTTAACGGCTCAGTGGTTCTTCTGAAGAGTATATATAAATCTTGAAAAGGTAATACTGTTTGTTAGTTGAGCTGTAAAATCCATAAAAATAACAGTTCTGCCACAGTGCACAGATAAGTTCATTCATTCTGCTTCCCCAGTCCCCTCACCAAGCAGCTTTCAGGTCAAAGTGGAAGACGAAGAAAATCATACATCCTATGTGAAGTAATGAAGATCGCAAGAAACAGAGTGTGCAAAAAATAAACTTTAAAATTCCATACTCCAACATCATGTACGTCTATTAACAGGATTTGACTGATGATTTCACAAATACTTGAGATCATCTCAGTCCCCTTGCACTGTCATCCGGCAGATTCAGATCCAAGGTCTTTCGATGCAACAAGGAAAGAAGTGGTCTTCGGTCTGATTTGGGGTTCACAGTCAGTCAGTCAGCCTGCTGGGGTTGCAGAGGGTGCCTTGCTGAGGGAGGACACGTTACTTGTGTGCAGGAGTTTCCTGAATGTATGCGGACAGTGCCCAGCTTGACCTCTGCCTTGGTGACCTGCTTTTCCATTCTGGCCCCACTGGTGCCGATCGTCCTGACCAAGCTGTTGCCTTGCTGTGGATCTCGGGGGCCGTGGCGTGAATGCAGGCACGTCCTCGCGGACCACGTGGGAGGAGTCGCTGCCCAGCACATCCAGCGCCCACGAACAGGTCCACCCTGGTGAGCGGGTGCTTCAGGTTTGCGTCCAGGCCGCAGGCAGGTGGCGCCACAGCCCAGCGCGTCCAGCCCCGGGGCCCTCGTCCTCCCATGGCCCCGGGGTGCCGCTGTGGCCTTGGGCACGTCGTCACTGTCCCCTCTCCAGGTGGCACCCCGGGGCTTGGCCTCCTCCGCTGGCCCTCTCGGGGCAACCCTCCACAGCCCGGCTGCCCAGGCGGCCCCGCGTCTGTCAGGCTGGGTGGTGCTCCTGGTCGTGGGCAATGTGCCCTTGTGCTGCGTCCTCCTCTCCAGGCAGGCCCTGTGCTCCTTGGCCCTGGCTCCAGGGCCGAACTGCGGGAACACCTACCCTCCCTCCCTGCCCGGCTGTGGTTTTAAAGCTGCAGGACTATGTAAACTTCGTCGCCCTAGCCCAGCAAAGCTGCTGCTCCTCCCCTCCTCTCAGGAATGTCAGTGGCCCCTCAGAGCCTCCCGTGCCGCCGGCTGAGGCAGCCTCTCTCTCTGAGAGGCTGCGGCCGTGGTCCTGGTCCCACAGATGGAAGGAGGCTCCATCTCCAGAAGGCAGGGCCAGATGTGTGTGCTTAAATGCGAGACGCTTAAATGCGAGAGACAGTACAGTTTTTGCCTTCACCCAGAGCTGGGGCGTGGAGGCCCCAAATAGCGAGTGATACATTTCATTAACGGCATGCTTTCCATCTAGCGTCCACTGCTGGAATCCAGCCTCCAGGCCGCAAGGCCAGGAAGGCTGCCACGTAGGCAGCTTCCCAGGAACCCAGTCCACGGCCCTCCGTGAGGTGCACAGCACCCGCTGCTCTCAACGAGGCTGGGGCACAGCTAGAGGCGGTTGTCTCCATTGACCCGAGTCCTTCGCGGGGCCCTGGACGGAAGGGGAACGAGTGTCCTTACCAGCAGCGGGCCTTGCAGCCCAGGGTGACAGCCCACAGGCCAACAGGAGGGAGAGGAACCCAAGGCAGACCAGCCACTCCTTCCCGTCTCTCAGGCCCCCTCCTCCAGGCTGCACACTGGCCACCTCGCCTCCACCCCCTCACCTTCGTTCTCGACTGTCAAAATGGTCAGCGAGATGCTCCTGGGAGATGCGGAAGTCCTCAAATGGCTGCTGGTAGCGAGCTTCGAAGGAGCCTTCCCGGGCCCGGCCGTGAAACAGCTGGCCCGAGGCGTCGCAGCCCCGCTCCCGCAGGGATGCACCCCCAAAGGGACTGAGGTCGCCGTTCTCCTGCTTCAACAGGGGCAGATGCACAGGGGGTCAGCGGCTGCCTGGCCCCCGGTGAGGCTGGGCCCGGCACTTGCCCCACCCCACCTGGCCGCAGGTACCTTGGCAGGGAAAACGTCGACCTTGACGAGCAGGGAGGCCAACTCCAGGTCCTCACTATAGTTGTTCTTCAAAGGCACCGCTCTGTATCCTAGGAGGAGAAAGCCTGGCCCTGAGCCCAAGGGGAAGGCAAGCAAAGCCCCCTCACCCACAAGCCAGATCTCGGGGGGGGCACAGTCTCTAGGAAGGGTCCTCACCTGTCTTCAGGCCCTTCACCGGGAAGGTAGCCTGAGCCAGGAAGTTCTGGTCACTAAACATGTCTTCCTCATACACCACAAAGCGCAGGAAGGCGAATTCGGGGTTACTGATCTGGAAGTGGAAGGGCTTGGCTGGCCACATGGGATTCAGTCCATTGTCCACTGCGGAAGCAAGGGCAACAGGCCTCAGGCCACTGCCAGGAGAGGACGGATCACAGGTGCGGAGGGGCCTTCAGTGCCCTGGAGAATGAGGACGGTGAGCGGGGAGAGGAGACTCACCCACAAACTCCGTCTTCTGCTTGGTGCTGTCATACTCAGCACCGGCCACCTCAATCTCCACGAAAGGACACACGATGCCTCGGCCATTCTTCGGCAGATGCCGGGCCCCCAGCACCTGTAAGGTAGGCAAAGATGGGCCCAGGATGGTCCTTCCAACTCATGCCAAGTCCCCACTACCCGGCGGAGGCAGTGCGCCCTCTCCTGGGCCCCAAGGACACTGCCCACCAAGTCCCTCAAGTCATCAGGGCTCTACGGGCAGCTGCCGCAGCCAAAGTTCATTTGAAGAAGTCCTAGGCTCAACCAAGATTTTCACGTGAGTTTCTGCAAATCAACTCCACATGAAACCCATGTCTATTTTAACATGAAAATTAAAAAATTACTTCCCCCTAGAACAAAAAAATAGCTCCTCTCTGGGAGAAACCTGGCTCACCCCACGCTGTCCTCACTCCTCCCTCCAAGACCGCTCAGGCCCCACACCTGAACCCCACAGCACCAAGCTGCCCACATTACCGCTGGTCACCAGAGGCCTCAAGGGCGCGACCACAGAGCGAGCCCCGGGACCTCGAGGGGCGGCAGGGGGCCTCCGTCTCACTCAAGCCCCGTTCCAGGAAGTTAAGAACCATCTAGCCGATTCCCGCCGGAGGGCCGCTAGCTCACCACTGGCACTAGCTTCCTCCTGCCTGTCTTCTGCCCACTCCTGCCAGGCAGTGACTCTCCATGGCTTGGCCTTACTGGATAGCCTGACTCCTTAGTGCCAAGAACTGTCCACACTTAGCCAGCTGCCTCCAGCCTGTGCTGGTCAGAGCCCAGCCCCATGGGGGAGGCTGGTAGCTACACGCCCACCTCAGAAGACATCTTCCTTGAGCTCCAGGACAGTCCAGTGCCCCCTGCCCCATGGCGTTAAGCAGCACCCTGGCCTTGACGCTGAAATGAGCCCAGCAGAGCGTCCCCTTCCCACCTCGATGCAGATGGCACACGGCTCCAGCCCGCGGAGACTGCTCTTGTCAAAGGGGTCGAAGGCCTCGTCGCGCATGATGCTCGGCTGCAGCACGTAGCCACAGTGCCCGCCGGCCAGGAAGAGGGCCTGGTTCATCTGCATAGGCTTGTCTGGAAGAGCCGGGTTACAGTGGACTCCAGCCCAGCTGCCCAGCAGGACCCCGCCCCACGGGCCACCACCTCACCTGGGGTTTGGAAGTTGAGGGCTACCAGCTGACTGCCACAGATCCACATGGGCAAGGGGTCGTAATTGGAGGAGTCCAGCCGCTGGCCCTTGGGGTAGATGCGGGAGAGCTGCAGCCGGTTGTACTGGAGGAACTTCTTGCCTTTGGCCTTGTTCACGTACTTCTCAGCCTTGGTTTCCGGGAAGGACGACATGTCCCGATAGCAGGCGCGTTCTGTGCCGATCTCTGGGCCAAACAGGGAGAGAGCTCACAGAGCCCGCCCACCCGGGCGCTGCTGGGGGCCAGACCCCCGCACTGCCCCTGGGCCGGACCCTTACTCTCTTCGTCGAAGGGAACAGGCCGGCAGTAGACGACGAGCTCGGAGAGCTCCAGGGCGATCTTCTTTCTCCGCTCCATCATCTTCCCCTCAGTGAGCTGGTGACACACAGGCCCTGAGCCCAGGCAGGACCCCCCCCCCCAACCGCCAGGAGAGGGAAGCCCCCAGCCACCTGGGGCATGCCCACCCACACCTTCTAGACCCCACTGTCTGTCCCCAGTCTCACCCCAGAAACGCCCTCTCTCCTCCCTGCCCCTGAGGACACATGCCTTCCAAGACTTAGGAGGGTGGAATCCTCACCACCAACCGGGCCCCAGTGACACCCCAGGGCCCTGAGCTGGATGCACCTGCAGTGATGCTGTGACCATTCGGTACCCAAGCCTCCCTCAGGCACATAGGCCACCTCCCCGTTTCCTTGTGACCTCGCTGGGGACTCGGGCTTATCTTCTGTGTCCTAAGGACCGTCGTCCTTCCCACCCACCCTGGCCCAGAAGCCTCACCCCTTAGTTCCCCTCACTCGCTCACTCAACACAACCACCTACTACTTGCTGTGGCCAGACTTCAGCTATGGAGGCCCACTCACAAGTGCCCCCATCCCGTCCTCTGACCCCTGGAGGCCCACTTCCTTCCAGAAGGGGCTCCTATTCTCAGACTCTTCCTTCCCCTCTCAGCCCAGACCCCAGGATCCATCCCTTCAACCACCTGGTCCTTTCTGCCTTGTCTTTCCGGGCCCTGCTCTGACAAAATCCTCAGCACCCAGCCCTCTCGGCTTGGCTTGTGGGTGTCCTTTCTCCACAGCAGCCACAGGTGTGTACTGCAGGCCTTCCACCCCACCCCAAATGACCGGGGTGGCATTGAGCAGAAGAGTTCCCCCACCCTGGCGAGCACTTCCTCCTCTGTCCCAGGCTCAGTGGAAGAGCCTCCCTCCTCCAGAGGCTGGTCCTTCTGACCCAGCCTGGGCTCCGCGTTCTTCTACCATCCTGCCCCGCAGAGGCTGCGCCCTTGCCTTCCACGCTCCGTGATGCCCACTGCCATCCCACCCAACCACAACCTGACACGGCTGCTGCCAACTCCAATGGGCACTTTCAGATTCTGACCCTGCCTGTCTGCTCTGCAGCCCTCCGCACGTCAGACCCCCCGCCTCTCTTTCTTGAAACCTGCATCCTCGAAGGTCACGCCCGGTTCCCAACCTATACCACCTCATCCCTAAGCCCCTGGGCACCCACTCGTGCTTCCAGCCCATGACCTGTCCTCTCACCTCTGCCCTTGGTATCCAAAGGCCCACGGAGCAGGGCCACTTGGACGTCCCACAGGTACCTCAAACTCAACACACCCTCAACATGCCATACTGCTGACCACGTGTTTTTCCTCCGATCCCTGCCTAGCGGTGGGGGCTGCCCACCTGGGGCTGCCCCGCTGCTCTGAGGGCCACCGGCAGGCTCTCACCCTGGCATCCGCGGTCTGGGCCACTTCCCGGATCTTTTTCACCCAGTCCTGCAGCTCCTCCTGTGAGTCGGCAGCCACATCTAGGGACCAGTGTGCCACCGACGCCATGCTGATGGAGAAGACGAAGAGCCGGTTGTTCTTGCCCTCAGGACGGATGGCTGGGAGGGAGGGAGGGAGGGAGAGGAGCGCAGAGCTGGGGACAGACGTGCCTGAGTCCCCACCCCACACCCCGTGAGGAGGCGGCACTGCTCTGCCAGGCCCGCCTCACAGCTGAGGACGCTGCAGACCAGCAATAAGTCGCTGCCACTCCGGGCTGCGTGCCCCTCCCCACCCCATCCCCAAGCCTCTGTCAGTCAACCCAGGGACCACATCAGGACCGTGGGCTTCAGCTCGCCAGCGGCACCCTCCACAGCGCCTGCGCAGGGCAAGCACGCAGGGGTCAAGGCCAGGGGTGAGAAGGGAGCCTGGGCGTCAAAGAGTGTATCCAGGAATGGGGAGAGCTCAGGGTGAGGGCAGCCCTTAGGGGTCCGGCCATCGGCTTTCTCCCTTGGGGCCTGAAGAGGGCCACCAGGGACTGCGTGACCCGAAGGGGCAGAGAAGGGGCTGGGGGCTCACCTATCTGACAAGCCGGCACATCCAAGACCCCCCGCAGCAAGTCCCCCAGGGGGCTGTTCTCGTCCAAGTGCTGTGGAAGGCAAAGCCCACGGACGATCAGCAAGCCCACTGTGCCCACACGGGAAATACATCTGACAAGCGAACATGTGAACGCACGCGCGTGGCCCATGTTTATCAGAGACCGCGGCCTCGGTGGGGCAGATGGGACCACACGTAAGGGGCTGTGCACGCGCAGGCACGCTGACCCTGCCCGTGGTGGTGTGTGCACAGGAAGGGAGTCTGGGGACGGGAGCCCCGTCCCACCAACGGGACTCTGGTCTCACCTCCCTCTCAGGTTCCAGGGCCGCAGGGCTAACCATCTCTTCCACGTAGTTCGACGGGAACCACAGCTGCTTCTTCCCACCATAGTCACCACGCCACCTGGGGAAGCCGCAGCATGCTGACCCCTAGCAGGCACCGCAACCCCCCCAGAGGAAGGCAGCCCCTCTCACTGTCCATGCCGTCGGCGCCCAGGACGCCTGGCCCCGCACCACGGGCTCTCAGCTGGCTCACCAGCCTCCTTCCTGCTTCTCCACGTTCTGGATGATGGCGCTCTTGGTGAAAGTCAGCTCGTCCTCTCTCTGGGCCTTGTAGTCGAAGAGAGCTTTGACGGCGCACTGCGGGGAAGAGAAGCACCGGTCAAAGCAGACAGGCCCTCCCCCTCCTCTCCTGACCTGCGGCCACACGCACATGTGCTGGGGCTGCCCAGCTGGGGCTCAGGCACCACCGCCAGTGACCCAGCCTCACTACCGTCCTCAGCCCGGGCCTGTGGGAGGCTCCAGGGCAGATGCAACGGGAGAGCAGGGCCTCTGCCAGGGAAGCTCCTCAGGGTCCGGGGAGAACCTTGCAAGTCCCTGCCCGGGGCCCCAGGAGCCAGGCCAGGAGGCTAGAAAGGGAGTGTCTGCGGGTGCTGAGTGCCTCCTCTGGGACCGGAAGCCTTGAGGTGTGCCTGGGACCCCATCATTCCTCCCTCATCTGCAAAGTAGGAGAAGGAATCTTCTCCCAGGCTCCATGGCTGCTGAGGAAAGGGGGTGAGGAAAAGGGCACAGCTCCTTACCCCTTAGAAAAAAGCCCTGACAGAGCTCCATAAGGTGAGGGAGGGAGGGAGGGAGAGAGGGGCAGAGAACACCATCTTCTGGCCAGCGTGCCCCACCCCCACCCCACTGTCCCCAGGGAGAAAACGGGGTCGGTGCTGACCCCCAGGAACGGGGCTGGGGAGGGGTCGGCGCCGGGAGAGACGCGGTCGTACGCCAACCGCACACCTCTCACCCCCTCTCAGGCCTCGGAAGACCACACCACCACTTCTCCCCAAAGACCGCAGGTGGCCCTGAGCAGAGAATGCAAGCCCCAGGCAGCTGGAGACGCTCTCCAGCTGCCTGCGCCCAGAGCCCGAGGCTGCACCTTGAAAGTCGGCATGGGGTTCGCCTCCACGTAGAAGCCGGGGTTGCGGCCCTCATACAGGGCCCCATAGTCGGGCTCCTGGAAACGGACAGAAGGGGCTTTGTTAACGCCCAGAGAGGAAAGTGGCTGCTGGCTTCCGTGTCCCCACCCCTCCTCACCGGGCCAAGTCTGCCGCCTTCACGCACCTGGTCCGCCAGGGTCCCCCAACCTCAGGGGCCTGGCCTCACCCCTCATCTCTCTGCCCCTGCGCGCACGGCTCCAAAGTCTCGGTTCCTGAAGCCCCCCTGCGCCTGCCCCAGGCCCCCAAGCACACTTCTCTCACACCCCAGCCTCAGCAGGTGGCAGCCCGCGCCTAGGCCACCCAGGTGCAAGGACAAGAGTCTCAAGGGGACCTTCTGCGCTGGACACCTTCCTCTTCCCCAGGGCCACGCCCCTGGCCCAGAGCCCTTGGGGCCCCGCCCCACAGCCCTGCCTTCCTCCCTCACTGGTCTCGCTCCACAGCCATGCCTCTGTAGCCTATGCACCCCTGCCCTGGGGACAGAGTCTGGTCTGCGCCCAGCCCCGGGCAGACCCTCTCCCCACGTGAGCCCTAGGACCTCCGCACCCCACATCCTGGCCCACGGGGATCTCTCTGCTGGATGCCTGCCCCCACCTCTTCACCCGGCCAGCTTGTGCCTGTCCTTGTAGACGCCACTCAGGCCACTCCCTCCAGGATGCCTTCCCAGCTCCAGCTGGGCTAGCTGGCCCTCCCAGCAGCACCGCAGCCCCCAGGCCTCTCTGCTCCCCACATCCACAGCACCCCGGGACCGTCAGGTGCGGCCTGCCCCGCCCTGCCACCCAGGCTCTCACCGCCGTGCCGATCTTCTCCAGCGCCTCCTCGTTGATGGGATAGCGTAGCTTCATCTTGCGGTACAGGGGATGCTTCTCGTAGTAGCTGACGAGGTCCACGAGGCTGTCAAACTCTGAGTTGCCCAGCATCACGGTCTGGCCCTCCTGCTGGACGCGGCAGTGCTTGATCTTGCCCTCAGCGCTGACAGGGACCAAACAGCCACACAGGGTCAGGGCAGCCCGGACCAGGCGTGCCCGCACCGCCCCAGCCCCCCAGGGGGACCCCCTCACCGGAAGGAGATGGCGTAGGAGTTGGGCTCATTCCGTTTCCGCACCAGGAAGGCCCCGTCCCGGGGGACGCGCATCAGCATGTGCTCGGCCTGTGCTCTGGTCAGGCTCGCGTGGTACCACCTGTGGACGGGCCCGAGTCAGACCCGGCCACCACCCCCGGGTTCCTGCCCCGTCCCCGTCCCCGTCCCCTCCCTCACTCTTTGCTCTCGTGGGCGTTGGTCTGCGGGACGGGCTCTGAGAGGCGCATCTCAAATTCGTTGCAGCGCAGGGGCACCTGCTGGTAGTGTGTGATGAGGTCATAGAGTGAGTCGAAGACGAGGTTGTCAGTCAGGAAGAACTTGGGGGTCCCTGCGTCCTGCCGGGAGTGGATCCGGCAGTGCTGGACTTTGCCATTCCGCCTGAAGGGACACGGGGAGGCAGTGAGCAGCAGGCCAGGCCACATGCCACGCTCCACCCGTGGCGAGGCACCAGGCCTCAAGCAGGAGACACCCTGAGGACGGCTCAGGTAGGGGCGGCCCTCTAGGGGCTCCACGCTAACAGCAAGCGCGTGACGCACTGTAGGACCTGGCCTCCCCTGCCGGCGTCGGATCCATGTGTGCACGCGCTGGGAGGGTTACCAGAAGGAGAGGGTGTAGTCGCCCACGAAAGTCTCGCTCTCGCGCACGAGGAAGGAGCCGTCGGGGGCCCCGGTCTCGATGCAGTACTCTGTGAGCAGGCGCTCGGCGATGTGCCGCCCGTCCCGTCCCGCCCCGAGCTTCCCGTGAAACCACTTCTCATTGGAGTGCAGCTCTGTGCTGCCACTGGCCTGCAAGGCAGAGGGCGACGGCAGAGACACTCAGTGACTCTGACCCCAGCCCGGCCCCCGGCCCTGGGCCAGCCCCTCACCTCCTTGGGCTCCTCCTCGTCCTCGTTGCCCTGGTCACTGCTGGTCTCCTCAGAGTAGTAGATCTTGCTACTGGTCAGAACAAAGTAGTGGGGATACCACTCCTGGAAGAGGCGGGAGCGAGGCCTGTGAGCAGAGCCCTCTCACCAGCCTGCCCCTCAGGCCCAGCCAGGCCCAGCCAGGCCCAGCTCTCACGTGATTCACAGGGTCCTCCAGGTAGAGAATGCCATTCTTGATGGAGTTGCTGATGTCGTTCTCAGAGTACATCACGGATGTAGGCACCTCTTCATAGGCACTGCCCTCAGCCAGCTTCTTGTGCTGTGGGGGACAGGCCACGATGTGGCTTCCCAGGCCCAGGCCCAGAGCCCCACCTTCTCACCCAGGCCTGGACCCACAGCTGGAGCGGAGGAGTGGGGCCCCCAAAGCCCTACCTTGATGAGGATCTTCCTCTTGAGCTGGCTGGGTGAGGGGAGCCCATCAGCAGCAATGTCCACGGGCTTGGTGAGGAGTGTGTCCCCGAGCACCTTCTTGAAGTACTGGGCCATGTTCCTCTGCTGGGCGATGCTGCAATGGTCCTCGATGGACAAGATGACCGGGTACCTGCAGGGTGGGGGACCAGCACGTAACACAGATCCTGCAATTCCGAGGGGTCACGGCTCAGACCCTCACAGAGTGAGGTGTTAGGAGCCTAGGGCCCAAGGTCCTTTCTAGGGGGGAGTCACCCCAGAGAAGAGGCAGGCCCTGGCCACTGTGGGGGGTAGGAGAGGGGTCTAGAGAGGCACTTTTGGGTGCAGCAGAAACCAAGGGCTGGGACTGTTGCAGACAGGTGTCCCCAGAGTGGATCGCGTCACGAAGGCTGCCCCATCAGCAAGGAGAGACATCCTACACCCAAGGTCAGGAGAGGTGACAAGCAGCTTCCAAATTTAGCTACTGGGGGACCCCAGTGACCCCCTCAGTGAGGTGGGAGAGACTAGTGACCACGTGTTGCGGGAAACAATAGGAACTACAGAGTGAGACACAAGGAGCACAGGCAATTCTCTGGATTGTGATGGGAAAGGAGCTGGCAGGACAATGGCCTTGCGAGCCCAGGGTTAAGGAACTAATTTTTGAGGATGAGAAGAGCTTGACTGTGTGCCACAGGCCGAGAAGGACCCATGGAGTGAGCAGGTGGGCCAAGCGTGCAGGAAGTGAATGGCTCGGGAAGGGTGGGCTCCAGCAGGTGGCAGGAGGTGGAAGGCAGGGACGGGGACAGTGCATTCAAGGGGACCCAGGAGAGAACTGGAGCCGAGCCAGGCCACTCACTCTGAGGCCACAAAGGCGTGCTCCTTGATGGTGTGCAGGACGTCTGAGAACTTGATCTTGGTGGTCAGGGTGTGTCCGTGGTAAATGACTGGCATCCCGTCTGGACCGTCCCAGCAGTCCACTGGGGAGCAAGCAAGGTGACCAGAGTCAAGCGGGCAGGCCTCCCCCCGCCCCCCCCAACCTAGCCCCCACGCACACTCGATGCAGCGGCAGCCCATCCGCAGACAGCGGGCGTAGGCTTCCAGGGAGGACTCGCTGGAAAACTGGTCCCCGGTCAGGTACCTGGACAGGGAAGCAGGGCGGGGTGGTCAGGTGAGACCTACCTCCCGGGGTTGGGCGTGGGCCAAGGGAGCCACTCACGTGTTGTGCGAGGAGGAGATCCAGTAGTGGGAGAGGGGGTTGTTCATGGTGTCGGGGCACACGGCGTCCAGCTGCGAATTCCATATGCTGTTCTCCTTGGAGAACAGGAAGGTGACGAACTGCCCAGGAGCAAATGCGGAGAGGAGAGAAGATGAGCCCCTGCCCTGGGCCACGGCACAGGGTGACATGGGAGACTGCTCAATCCAGGTCAGGGGCATGATGGACTGCGGGAGGGACCCGGCCGGGCTCCAGTGGGCCCGTCTGCTCCCTGATTCCCCGATCGAGGGTGAGGGGCAGGGCTCACCTCATCCAGGAAGAAGTAAGGCTCCTCGATCTCTCGCAAGGGGTCTCGGAGGAAGCTGAGCATGAACTCCTGCACCTGGAGCCGGTCGACAGCCCATAGCTCCTGATGGGTGGGAGGGTGGGGCATGTGAGGGGCCTCCATCCCGTGGTGAGCCCAGCCCCTCTCAGCCAGCACCCTGGCCCAACCGCAGCCCAGTCCTACCCCCTGGTACTCGAGGAGGAACTGCTGGAACTCAGGAAGGGACACCCGGCAGAGCTCCGGCCGCTCCCCTGCCCTGCAGGAGAGAAGGGAAATGCCTGGCAGCCGGCTGGCTAGCATGGGCCACAGACAATGAGGGGCCCCTGGGAAGGTAGGGCCCAGCTCCCGGCCAGCACAGCCGCCCAAAATGGGCCAGCAGGGCTCCCCTGCTCCCACTGCCTCCCACCTGCATCGGGAATCAACTAGGGGAGGGACGAAGGGGCCTGGGGAGAACCCCACCTCCCCAACTCAAACCAAACCTCAGGGCACTGGCTTCCAGGAAGGGGAGGTCCATCTGCAGGAGACAGAACCAGGTCAGCATGAGAGCCCCTGGGAGGCCACGTGGGGAAGGGGCTCTCAGGAAGAAAGGCTGGGGCAACAGAAAGGGGCAGGCCTCACAAGGAGAAGAGCTGGAGAAATGGCACCCAATCGCCCCCAAGCAGGGCAGCAGGGCTGAGGCAAGCGGGGCTGGGGTGGGAGAGCAGGGTAGGGGCGGTGGGGGTAGGTGGCTCATGCACCGTCTTCTGGGCGCTGTACATAAGGCTGCGGTACAGCTGAGCAAACTGCCCGTAGGTGATGTCACTGGTGCGCTGCTCCAGGTCCTGCGAGGCAGAGCGGGACTTCCGGTCAGGCCTCCCGCAGGGCTGGGGGCAGCCGGCCTACCCACCCGCCTGCAGACGGCCCCCCGGCCCTTACCGTCAGCCGCTCTCGGAGGAAGCGCATGTTGGGGACCCGATAGTTGACCTGGGACAGCATGTTCTTCAGGTCCTTGGCTGATATACTGAGGAAACAGGGACATCGCCAGTGGCCTCACCCCACCTCTCATGACCTCTGACCTGTGGGCTGAGTCCACCTGGGGCTGAACAGGTAAACAACACTACTCTGGGACTTGCAGTCCTGACGGTGAGGCTGGCTCAGAACCATGGGGTAACCAAAGGAAGTCCCTTCCTTTCTCTGGGCCTCGGTCTCCTCAGCTGAGCAAAGGAGTCTAGGATTCTAGCAAGGAGGGGTCACCAGCCTCAGTAAAGTGGGTCAGGGCGGGGCAAGGGGAGCCCATCTTAGGGCCGCCCTCCCACCAGCACCGCTCAGCCCACACGTCTGGGCCCTCAGCTCTCCCAAGGACAGAGAGAGGCAGCTACTACTGAGGGACCTCCAGGCTCCTTCCACCTCATTCTCAAACTCCCCGAGAGGGGCAGGCAGCTCACAGGACTCCCGCCCACTGCCCCTGGGAGTCAGGGCCTCCAAGGGGAGGAGGGGGAAGATCCTTCTCAGCCCAATACCACTGCTGGCAATGGAGCACACTCCCAGGGTCTGACAGGGAAGCACCCCTGCCCAAGAATGGGGCAGAGGACAATGCTGGGCCTGGCAACAGGATGAAAACGATTGGGAGAGGGAGGCCTTCTTTCCTGGGAGGTGGTGGCAGGGAGGGGAATGTGGGCACCCCTCCTTCTCTTGCCCAAGGGCCTGGCAGGCAGCACCAAAACTCCCTGAGGGGTCCAGCCCTGCCCTGGGCGATCCTGCTATCTATCAGCCAGTGCTGTTCAGCAAGCGCTTGCCTGGTCTCAGTCACCGGGGGTGGGGCTATCAGGGTCCTCACTGGGCAGGTTAGGAAACTAGCTGCGTCATCAAGCTTTCCTTCTGTGGACTCCTTGCCATCAGCATTACACGCAGATTGTTACCACTCCCCCCAAAACACCTGTCTGCCCTGCTTCCTCTCGAGCCACTGCCCCTTCTCTGCTCCTCTTCACAGCAGTGCCTTAAAGGAGAGACCCAGGCTCCTTTCATTTCCTGAATCCCATCCCCACTGTCCACTGCCTGCCTCAAGGTCACCAACGACCTCTGTGCCGTCAAGTCCAAGGAGCACCTCTCAGTCTTCCCCACACGTGACAAGGCCTGGCACAGCTGACCACCCCCTCTTCCCTGGGCTTCCAGGGCTCTACACCCTCTGATTTTCCTCTTTAACTCTCGAGCAGCCACTTCCCTCGGCTGGCTCCTCTCCTCACGTCCCCAGTCCCCAGTGTTGAGGCAGCATGGGCCTGGGATTAGCCACCAGCCTCCTTCCCTTTTCTTGCCAAGGTAGCCCCAGGCATCTCCAGCCTCGTGGCCTCTTCCAAATCACCTATGTGCTCCTCAGGTTCCAGCTCCAGCCCAACTTCTCCCCTGAGCTCGTTCTTCACACCTGCCTGCTCAGCATCTCTACCTGAAAATCTAAGGGCATCACCGGACTTCACCCACTCAAACGTGCACCTCCCACAGCCTTCCCCATCTCAGTCAATGGCAACTCCACCTTTCTAGATGCTCACGCCAAAAAGCTTTTTACCGTAAACCTCAACTCTCTCTCTCTCTCTCACCCCAAAATCAATCTGTTAGGAAATGCTATTGGGCTCTATCTTCAAAATACAGCCTAGCCAAAATCCAACCCCTTCCTAATACCCCACCCTGACCCAGTCTTCACCCAGAGTGTTGGAGTTGCTCCCTGAGTTCTCCACTCCACCTGCCCTGGACTCTCCGAGCGCAGCTAGCAGTTCTGTGCAACTGAACCCGGGTCACGTCACGCTTCTCTTCAACACCCTCCGTGATGTCCACCTCTCTCCCAGTCAACGGTCCTCATCATCCATCACCCAGCTTTTGTCCTGCACCTCTCTGTAGCCCCTCTGGTAGTCACACCATGGCCTCAAAGCCGTGAGCTTCAAAGCCCCCCCCCCCCCCCCTGGGAGATGGACATGTGGGCTGCTCAGCCCCGTGGTCTCACTGCACGGGGGGAAGCAGAGAGGCCTCGTGGCTAGAGAAGGGGCCCCGAGGGACAGCCCTGGTGGCCTGAGGGGGCCAACCCTCCCCATCGCCCCCCCCCCCCCCCACACACACAAACTACAGGATACCCAGAGCCAGTTCTGCACCGCCTCTCTCTGCCCACAGTGGCAGGGCACGTGGCTTATCGTCCCTGGCCTCTCCCGCCAGCTCGCACAAGGCCATCAGAGGGCTTTCTGCAGGAAGCTCCTTGTGCCAGAACCGCCTGCCCACCCTGCTTGAGGCAGGTCCTCCGGTTCTCCAGGCAGCTGCCTGGAGGTGGGCTATTGCTCTGGCGGCCCTAACCCACCCTGCTGGGCTAGAGCCACAGCACAGGACCCACCGATCCTCACGATTCCGGTCCACTGAGTAGAACTGCTTCCGCAGCCACCTGGAGGGAGAGAAGCCCGAAGTGAGGCCCAGGCTTAGGGAGGAGACCAGCAGGCAGGCTCTGGGCACAGAGGCCTGAGTCCCTGCCCTGCTCCCTAGAGCCCAACGCCCCAACCCTAAGCACGTCTGCGGGGGGTTCTTACCTCTCAATCTGCAAGGGTGTGGCTGCCTGCAACGTATCCTCCATCAGCCAAGTCAGGCCCTTGATCCACATGTTCACTTCATCCTCAGACGTAGCTATGAGCAAGGGGCAAAGAGCTGAGCCTGGGGCCAGGGGCTGCTCCCCTTAACTCCTCCACCTCCTCAGCTCCCACCTTGCAGGCTCAGGGTCTTCAGGCGGAATTCCATTCCGTACAGGATGACAAAGCAGTGTGACTGGTCCGGTCGAAAAGCAGGATCCTCTTGGTAGCGATCGAAGTCCCGTGAGGTCTTCCCCGGGCGGATCTCCTTGATTTCTCGAATGTCAACTAGGAAGGCAGGGAAGAGGTCAAGGTCAGGCTGAGGTCTCTCAGGGTTAGCACTGAAACGAGGGCAGCCTTGTCTCCCACTCATTCCCACACTCTCCTCATGGAGGACCACAAAGAGAGACCCCCCCCCGACCCCGGGAATGGGGGCAGAGTCAAGACCACTCAGTCCTACTGGGGGACAGAAGAGAACTGGGCTGAGTCTAAGGACAGAGCTCTGCTAAAAGCTGAGCGTCTGCGGGAACAGGAATCTCCGTCCTGTGTACCTTCCCTCGGTGACAATACAGGCAGGTCACTCTGACCTGGGAAAGAGCTGGACTCTACAAAGAGAAATGGGGACCCACGGCTGTTCTGTGAGGACCATTTCCTGACACAAAAGTACACAAACTGGGGCTTCCCTGGTGGCGCAGTGGTTGAGAGTCTGCCTGCCAATGCAGGGTACACGGGTTTGGGCCCCAGTCCGGGAAGATCCCACATGCCGCAGAGCGGCTGGGCCCGTGAGCCATGGCCGCTGGGCCTGCACGTCTGGAGCCTGTGCTCCGCAATGGGAGAGGCCACAACAGTGAGAGGCCCGCGTACCACAAAAACAAACAAACAAACAAGAAAACACAAACTGAATCGTAAAGTCCCAAGGGAAGGCCTGGGGCTGGGCAGGCCCAAATGGGTTTCAGGGTCCATAGAAGGAAGGAGGGACTGGGCCAAGAGAACTGGTGCAGCCTGATGGCTCACCCCCTAAATATCCCTGAGCAAGACCCAGCAAGAGCAGTGGCTGCCCATGGATGGCTCCCATTCTGGCCTCACGACACAGACTGGGGAAGCACCCAGGTCAATGGCAGATGAACTGCCTCAGCCACTACCTCTGAGATGACGCTGAGTGACTCATTTAACTTCCCTCCATCTCGGTTTTACCACCTCTAGGGCAAAGAGCTTGACTGAATTTCTCTAGAAGGCAGGGTGGCAGAAAAGACCTGCGTGGGCCCTGGGGTGGGCCTGCTGGGACTAGACTCTGGGCTCCACCTCACCTTAGCTGCGCGACCTCAGCAGAGTGACAACCACTCTGACCCCACTGCTTCCCTCGGTGAACACAGGTAACAGACTGCGGCACCTGGAGGTGTTGCTAAGCTCAAAAGTCCTAACAGCCCAGAGCGCCCAGCCCTGTAGGTGGCACATGGTGGGCACTCATTCAAGCCTCCCTCCCCCTCCCTCAGCTCTGCCATCTTCGGTGGTCTGTGGTTTGCACAGGCAGTCGGAGCAGGCACACAGGTTGTGACCCCAGGCCTGGAGAGCGCCCGGCTGCACACTCACAGTCCCTGGGTGCTGGCTGGGACCCTGCACAGAGGGCACACTTTCCAGCCAGATAAAGAGACAGATTTAGGGAGGTCAAAAGAGAGAAGCCTGGCTTAGCCGCCAGAAATGACTCTGAGCACTCCCTTGGCTCTAGAGCCTCTTCAAATGCTCTCAACCCAGACTGGCCCAGAAGATCTGGAGCCAGGAGCGCTGCCAGCATGCTGCCTGGCCCACCTCCCCCTAGAGCCCTCCTGGCCTGAAGCACACAGCACCCCAGCTGGAATGTTCTAAGAGGCCCAATCCCAAGGCCTTCTTCCTGTCCCTCTAGCCACAGCTGTGCTCCACCTATCCCACCTCAAACAGTGGCATCGCCTCCAGCCCCAGGCCCAGCTCCCCTGCCAGAACACTGCCGGTTCTCCCTGGGCCCTGCTCCCGTGCCCTCAGCAACCCTCACAGGCCCAGTCCTCCAGCTGAGGGCCCCCCAGTTCTCACCAATCAGCCATCCTTCTTGAGCCTACGAATCTGTATAGGCTGTTGTTCTGATCCTTCCCGAGGTTGCTCACTATGGAGAACCCACTCCTTCTCTGGCCTTCAAGGCCCGCTGTGATGCGGCTCCAGCGATTTACTGCTACTTCTGCCCTCCCATCTTCTCTGCTCCATCCCACCTCAGCTGGACTGAGGGCAAGAACTGTCATGTTTCCTGTCCCCCATTTCACCTTGGTCCCTAGCCAGGGGCTGGTCTACCTCCCAGACTCCACTCTCTCTCACCAAAGACCCAATCTGGAAGAGCCTTCCTGCAGTAATCATGCCCTTGACACCCTGGGGCACTACGTGTGTGTTTGTTCTTCAATCTCTCCCAGGCCAGGCAAGGCCACCCAGTGCTTGCTGAATGACTGAACAAACAACGGAAAAAGCAGGCACACCACTGGGGGGAGGGGTAGCACAATGGGAGTGGTTTTTAAAATGAAGAGTTATGCTCAGGTAAAAACAGAGGGTGGGTGGGGAGGGAGACTGGGTCACAAAGACCCAGCCTGAGAAGACAGGGTTCCCAAAGATGGAAGGAGGAGCTGAACAGGGGAAATGCCCAGATCAGAAACTGCAGAATAACCACAAACCTTGCCCTCTGAAACAGAAACCAGCATGCTTTTCCGGTGCAGAGCTGCTGTCACCCCGCTCCCACACCTCTCACACAGGCACACGACCTCACACACACAACGCATACAGGCCAACGAGGCCTGTGTGGTCCACAGCCTGGGCCCTTCCGCGCATCTGCCCACCAGTCATCAGAGGTAGTTAGTCCACGATGTGGCTACCGCCCGGCAAGCAACTGCAGGGTCAATCTGAAGCCTGCTGCCAGGCCACCTACAGCACCCCACACGTGTGCTGCATATGCACACACACGTACACACAACACACACTGCCAGCGGGTCCTAGGTGCCCTGTGGCCTGCCCTGTGCTCCTGAGTACATTTCCAGTGAGACCATGCCGGAAGCAAAAGAGGCTCCCACCCAAAACAGGGACCAGGTAGGCACACAACAGCTCCGGGCCAGGCGCCCAAGTCTCCCAGGCTCCTGCTGGCCACACAAGGCCCCTTGTACTTCTCCCCATTGGAGCTGTCAGCCCGGCCCTCAGGCCCTCCAAGTCCATCAAGCCAACTGCAGGCTGGAAGGACAAGACACCAGGGTGAGAGGCACTACCAAGTTCTTAAAAGCTGCATCCTGTGTGACCTCCCACCTCAGCCCCACCCTCCCGCCTCCCAGAATAAATACAGCAGGGTCCTCTTCCTGAGAGCCAGGACCAGTTGCCCAGGGACTGCCATCAAGGGGAGGAGACCCCCTGGGCCTCTGCCCTGCAGGGTCTGGGTCAGACCTGAAGGAAGGGCAGGAAGAGAGACCCTCTCAGGACTTGGGAGCTTGGGGGAGGGAGGAAAACTGCTTAGAGGAGCAGGAAACCCACAACCCCAGCACTAATTCCCCCATAGAACCACAGAGAATAACATTCAAGGGACATGGGGAAAAGAAAAGCCAGTGGTACTGGGAGGTCCTGGCTAGGCTGGAGATGGGGGAGTGAGATGGGGGAACTCTCTGAGGACAAGGGCAGGATCCCACAACCAGGGCCCTGCAGCCAGGCTGGGCTGATGTGCAGCAGAAGGGAGTAGGGCTTTCATTTATGACAAAGGCCCACCCCCAAGCTCACCCAAAACCCTAGAGGGCCTGGGGGGTCCATCAGCACAACCCAGCCAGCTCAGCCTATTAGGAGCCATGGAGGGCTCATTCCTCTAAGGACCAGGTCCCCAAGGCCCACGCAGAGGCCCCCAGGAACAGCGTGGGTATTACCATTCCAAGCAAGGCCATGGCAGACAGCGACAAGCCTGGGCAGTGAGGGGGACTCAGTCACTGGCATTTAATCGCCCACAAACTCTCATGAAGAAATAGACTAGCCCTCCTCAAGAGGCTCTGGGCTAATGAGGGACCACTGCACCTGGACCAGGGACTAGCCTCTCATGCCAGCCTTAAGGGCTGAGGACCTGCTTACAGGCCAGGCTGCCTCCTACCACTCCTTCAGGAAGCCTGCCCTGACCATCCCCTTCCTGAAGGCTGTCCAGGCCTAGCAGAGGAGAACCACACAGATCTTAAATTCTAGCTGTGAGGTCCTGGGCAGTCCCGCTCTTTTTTAAAAAAATTTATTTATTTTACTTATTTTTGGCTGCGTTGGGTCTTCGTTGCTGCATGCGGGCCTTCTTCTAGTTGCAGTGAGCGGGGGCTGCTATTTGTTGTGGTGCGCAGGCTTCTCATTGTGGTGGCCTCTCTTGTGGAGCACAGGCTATAGGTGCACAGGCTTCAGTAGCTGTGGCACGCAGGCTCAGCAGTTGTGGTGCACGGGCTTAGCTGCTCCGCAGCATGTGGGATCTTCCCAGACCAGGGCTCAAACCCGTGTCCCCTGCATTGGCAGGCGGATTCTTAACCACTGCGTCACCAGGGAAGCCCAGTCCCGTACTCTTTTGTCCTCAGTTTCCCCATCAGTAAACTGAGGATTCCTCCTACCTCACTGGGTTGCATAAGGGCCCTGCCAGGAGCCGCCAGTCCCAGTGAAGTCTGAAGCCCCCTGCCTGTGTGCCTAGTGCCATTGACATGGGGCCTACGTGAGCCAGCAGCAGCCACTGCCAGGGCTTTGCTGGGAGCAAACCCAAACCTAGGCGAGGTAAAGGTGGCCCACAGCTGCCTTGGCCCAAGGAAAAGAACCCAAGCAGCCATTTCCCCAGCTCCAAAAAGGGTCTCACAGGGATGGGGCACCACGGGGGAAGAGTGGGACTCGTGGAGCCTCTGAGTTCACATTGGTGCACACGGACATGACATGCTCTAAGCCAGAGGCTGCTTCCTGAGCCTCAGCACCGGGCCTGTTGCAGTCACAGCATCTCACCTACGTGCCGACACGTGCCGGCACTACACATACCCTGACCTTGCATAGGGTGGGGCACCAAAAGAAAATGCTAACAGATCTGAAATCACCAACACCACGTTTCAAATCCTGTTTCTGAGGATACAGCTTGGGCCTCGAGCAAGTCTCTCAGCTCTTAAGTAGGCTGTGGATAAAGTGAAGGCCTTAGTTGGGGGGGGGGCGGGCTGCCATAAACCCTTCACATGCAGACAGAGAACTACACAGAGTCAGCAAAGTGATTTTGCTAGAAAAGGACAAGAGGACATACTGAAAATTAA